ATCTTTTGGATTAACTTCCACAGTACTCGGAAGAATTCCAAAAGGTCTGTTATTGAGTGCAGTAGCAATATGTCCTAATTGATTTTCAATATTTCTAATAGTAGTCCCTTGTTTCTGTATTTGATTTCCCATGTTCAACATTACTTCTTCCATTGTCAACTTCTTTTTCTTAACTCTTGGGTTAGGGTTAGAGTTAAATCCAGGAGGATAATAAGGTCGATAATTATGATTTCCTTGGTTGTTCAAATTTTTGGAGTGATTCACTGAATTGTTAAAATTATTCCACTAAAATTAGGGTGATTATTCTATCCAGTGTTATAATAATTAGAATAGGGATTATTATTTTAATTATTTATAGTATTTAAAGTTTCATAAGATGATTGAGTATCAATTATCTGCCCTAGTAAATTTTCCTCTAATACTGAGGGTATTTGAAAATAGTTCACTCCAATTTTATCAATCTTTATTGAAATGGCAGCAATTTGAGATGCCAAAATAGACATTGCATCCGAGTCATGAATAGTAGCTACTCTATTAAGATTTACCCTTTTAGAGGGCCATTGAAAATTTCTAGTAGCCATTTCTTCTATTAAAGAGTTTGCTTTATCAAAAGGATCTGACATTAAAGATCCGCTAACAGTAGCATCTATAATAGATCTAAGTGATCCTACTAATCCATTGCAAGAAGTTTGAATTATTAACCAATCAGGTAAAGCATGGTGTGGACATTTTCTAAGAAGATCTTTAAATCTTTCCCAATTATATCGATTCCCCTTTAAACTAACAGAAAGATGTAATATCATTTCTAAGCTTACCAGTTTTCAAGGGTGAAAAATATTTAGCCAAGAATTTTTGTGATAGTTCTCCCCAAGTTCTGATAGATCTAGGTGCTAATGAATTTAGCCAAGCTTTGGCTTTATCCCTTAATGAAAAAGAAAAAAGTCTAAGCCTAACAACATCATTAGACACTCCGTCATATTTAAAATTAGCACAAATTTCAAGAAAAATAACAAGATGTAAATTAGGATCTTCAGTAGGTGTTCCTCCAAACTGATTATTTTGTATCATTTGGATAATAACAGGTTTAAGCTCAAATAAATTAGCAGCAACATCAGGATTTTAAATAATGAAGTGAAGTTCATCTACTGTCGGATTAGCATAATCTTTTAAAATTTTTATCAATTTTCATTTATTTGATTATGTATGTTATTAGCCATTTTTTTTTAAATTTTTTATTTTTTTTGTTGTTTTCAAATTTTTCTAATAGTACGTTCTAGTTCTGAATCGTAAGGTACTAAACCTTCAGATCCAGTATTTCGCATAAACAAATATAATAAGCAAAGAAAAAGAAAATACTCTTAAATAAAAATATATTTCATTTTTGGATTTTTGAATTTTTAATTTTTTTAATTATCTCTAAGTTTCCTAATTTACCAAATCTATTTAATTTACTGTTACCTTTCCTGACAACGACGCCAATAACTTGATCCCAAAAAATATAGTTGTGTAAAATTTAACAATAATTTTGACTAAGTTTTACTCCGCCGCTATGTAACGGTGTCAAAAGCTTGATGCAATTATTATGATTAAGAAATTTAAACAATTAATGTTGGGATTCTACACAACTATATGTATCGTTATCAAATAATAAATCACTTTCTATTTAAGCCCCAAATATCGATCCCACGGGGAAGGTTTAAGTTTGAAATGATAAATTTACTAAAAAATTCATAAAAAGTAAAATGAAATTACCGTCACTAATTCTGAATGCTGAGATATTATCAAAACTAAATTATGTAATTATTAGCAAAATTGAAATGCAAAGTTTAAATAGTAACTACTAAACTACTAAACTATGTTTATGTGATAAAGATTTCTTATGTGAAAAAACATCTTTCTCACTATAATGAGATTTTGGTAAAATGAGATGAGATAAATGGTTTTAATATGTATTGTGCCAAATAGGAG